TTTCCTTTGAAGGAGCAAAACCATTCTTATTAACAGAAAATTCTAGGTAATTTCTTGTTTACATAACTGCAATTTGGCTGGGTCTAAAGTTTAATTAATTTCTTTTTCTTATCAAACACCTTTTGTAAAATAATTACTAGCTCATTTATACTGTTAGCTGCTACAGTTATGTCTTCTAAAAAATATTGTAAATTTGGACCCTGCAATTAACCTAAACACTTTGATATTAGAGTATGGAAATAAGCAGACGAATTCTTTGCACCAAAGGGTAACCAAGTTAGTTGAAAATTGCCAAGTTCTGTGCAAAATGCTAGTTTTTCTTTATCTTTCTGATCTAATTTTATCTGAAAAAAAATGCCGTTTTAAGATCTAGTACACAATAATAACTTTTACCTGCTATACTATGCAAAATGTCTGAAATCTTAGGTAAGCATATTTGATATGATTCAGTTATGCAATTTAGCAATCTATAATCTACTGCCATTCTAAACTTTAATTTACTGGGATCAGCATTAGGTGGTGATTTCTTTTTGACAAAAATTACTGGAAAGCTATAACTCGATGTTGATGGCTCAATAATACCTGCTTCTAACAATTTGGCTAATACCTCTTGCGCATATTTTTTAGCAATGCAAGGAATAGTGTATGGTCTAGTCTAAATTGGAAAGTTATGTAACAAATTAAATTGTGGCACTACAGCATCTGTCTCACCCAAAGTATATGACTTTGAAAACACAGCTGATTTTTTCATGAACGTTTCAGTCATTTTACTTTTTTCTTCTACTTCTAAATGACCTAAGTCAAAATATCTGGGCTTAATTCCTCCTTTCTTAACTTTTTAATTTCTTTCAAAGTTATATGATTAATTTGTAAATTTTGTTGCTCTCTAGGCTTTTCAAATTGTTTTTCTTCTACTTTATATACCTTACCAATCTTTTCACCTTTTCTTAAAATTTTTGAATTTGAATTTTCTTCAATTATGGTGAAAATATATATTGCCTCTCACTTATCTCATGAATTGAGTCAGTCATACCTATTTTGCCCATTTTTCGTCTATCTGGTGAAAACATTATTTGCTGTTCTTCCTGCATATTAGCTGGAATGCTGAATTTTACTGTCTCTGCAGTTTGTTTGGAAAAATTTTGGTATTTAATACTACTACAATACCTGACTCATCTGGTTGACTATTCTTGTTTACCTTTTGTCTAGGAGATCAAAATAGGTGTTATCAATAATTAACTGATTTTTATTTGCATCCATAAGGATCTTATTTTTCTGAATGAAATCATACACCAAAATCATTTGATAACTTGTATTCCAATTATGTTATGTAACAAAAAATTGGTTGGCAAGCCATTTATTTCCTAAATGAAATTTTAAGTTTACAGCAGATAAATATGGGATAGTAGCATTATTTAGCATATGTATTCTTACAGATCTGCTTAAGTAATGAATCTTTGTATAATTTTTTATTACCTGAAATGTGTCTGGCTGTATCAAGCTTAAATTAGCACCTGTATCAAGCAATGCTGCTACTACAAAGTCCCCAAATTTGATTTCTATTATTGGTAATTCAGTGATATTATTAGTCTGGTGAAAGCTACCAATTTTTGTTCACTATTTTCTTTAATCTTGTTTCTGAATCTTTCATGTCTATTTGTGTTTATTATTTTCTTAATTTTGTCTTTTTTTGTTTATTTTTATGGTCTGTATCTTCATTTTTCTGAGCTATAGTTTAATATGTTTCTCTCTTTCCCCTTTTTTAAATATTAATTTTTTTAGCTTTTACACCGATTCACAAAATCTTCCTTTTTTTAACCCTTATAACATATTCTTTCATTTTACTTTCATATTATCTATGAGCTTTCCACATTTGAATAAAATTTTATCTCTGTTTTTGATGTGTACTTCTTTAATTTTTATTTTTATTTGTCCTTTTCTCCTGCATTCTTTTCTTTCCTTCTATTATTTTGATTTGATGCTCATTTATGTCTGCAAATCTATTAAGCTTTCCGTTAATACTGTTTTGTTCTGCGGTTTTCTTACTACATGCCTAAAACACAGTACAGTTAATAATTAAATTGTCTTAATGGGTCAAAACTTGCATGATCTACTTATCCAATCATAACCATCATTCTTTCCGATGAGTTTCATTATTAGAGAATGATTTCATATTAATATTTTTAAAAAATATTTATTGATCTTTTCTAATTTATCTACTTAAATTCTTTATTTCTTATGATTTATTTATTAAAATGTATGATGTGTTTGTGTGTTCGAAGACTGGAATTCTTATGAAATTATTAAAACCATCTTTTCCAGATGATCGGAGATCCTTCAAATCACTCCAGAGCTTTCACCTTTTTTTTTTTTTTTTTTTTTTTTTTTTTTTTTTTTTTTTTTTTTAAAAATTTTTTTTTTTTTTTTTTTTTTTTTTTTTTTTGTTTTTTTTTTTTTTTTTTTTTTGGTTTTTTTTTTTTTTTTTTTTTTTTTTTTTTTTTTTTTTTTTTTTTTTTTTTTTTTTTTGTTTTTTTTTTTTTTTTTTTTTTTTTTTTTTTTTTTTTTTTTTTTTTTTTTTTTTTTTTTGTTTTTTTTTTTTTTTTTTTTTTTTTTTTTTTTGTTGTGACTTTCTTTCTTTGTTTCAATTTAATCTTTGTTTTTTTAGAATAAAATTTTATCTCTTGTTTTTGAATGTGTACTTCTTTAATTTTATTTGTATTGGGTCAGTTTCTCCTGCATTTCTTTTCTTTCCTTCTTCTATTATTTTGATTTGATGCTCATTTATGTCTGCAAATCTATATAGAGCTTTCGTTAATACTGTTTTGTGCTGCGGTTTTCTTACTACATTGCATCTAAAACAACATAATTACAGTTAATATTTAATTAAATTGTTCATTAATTGTCAAAACTTGCATGATCTAGCTTTATCTAGAATATCAATCATATAACCATCTATTCTTTCCGATGAAGTTTCAATTACTGGTAGAGAATGAATGTTTCATATGTAATATTTTTAAACAATATTTTATTGATGCTTTTCTAATTTTATCTACTTAAAATTCTTTATTTTCTTATGATTTATTTATTAAAATGTATGATGTGTTTGATGTGTTCGAAGACTGGGAATTCTTATGAAAAGTATTAAAAACCATCTTTTCCAGATGATCGTGAGATTTCCTTCAAAATCAGCTCCAGAGCTTTCAGTTTTCTTATTAAAGAAAAAAAACAAAGCCTGATCCCATATAAAAAGACTCCAAACAACAAAACACCTACTTATTAGTAAAGAAAAATTCTATTTTTTTTTTTTTTTCCTTACGTTGGTTGAAATGTGAAATGTTACATAAGGTACTTTAAAAGTGTAATATTTTTCATACTTAATACTACCTTCTGTTGAGAAATCATTTATGTTTGCAGTAGCATTCTTTGCAACTTTACTTTTCTTGAAAGAAATGCATATACTTTACAAAGTAAAAGAAAATGTAAGGAATAATAAATAATCTGCATTGGCTTTTTAAAATAGAAAATTATTTAACCTCTAAGGATTCCATATGGGAGATGACTATCCAATTCATTAGAAACTTTTCTGCCAGCTCTTGAATAGTAGATTAAATGAGAACTGTTATTTTGAATTTATAATTAAAGAAGTACCATTTGTGATATTTTGGGGAACTTTTGAATTTCAAGGTCAAAAGCATAATGTGTGGAGGGTTAAGTCTCTAGTGTCATCAGGGATCAGGTTTGCCCTAACCTTTTATCCAGAAAAATGTAGGGGAAAATCATTGCCATAGTACTGCATGCTACTTTCACTGTGGTCATTTATTCTGCTTGTCTATCGTAATCTAAAGGTTTAAAAACTATTAAGTTGGAAAAAGTTGTTTGAATTTACCATTTGTAGAAAAGCTAAAATTTGAAATATTGTGTTTAATAAAATTCCGCTTTGTACAGTTCCTTATGTTGACATTCTTTTCCTTAGATTAATTAGTATAATTCTAAGAGTTTCTTTTAGTGCCAATTTTGCATGTCTCAGAGCTTCCCATCTCAAAAGATTTTTTAGGAGAATCAACTTATTAATTTGAACTTTTCTCTTAAAGGGCCTGTAAAAGAAATGCAAGTTTCATAAATTTTTTTACTAAAGGCTGTGACATTACTAGCAGTGTTAGAATCTGAAACGTCTACCTTATTTCATTTTATCTTTAAGTAAAAGTCCCATGTCTGACATCAATTTTTCAAGTAATGCATAGTTCTACAATCATTTTAAATGCCTTGTATGTTCCCTTCTGTTAAGAATTATACATTGACATATATGTCCAATAAATATAGAAGACAGGTTTAGTTTTGAAATTGTTAAGAATCTCTTTTCTGTTGTAACATTCACCTAATTCCATCTTTAAGTATTAGTAATTCTTTGGATTCAGTTGCATAATATTTATCCTTCCTTCTAATTAAATCTACAATAGGTCATTTATATTAAAATTATTTTGTACCTCAGTTGAGGTTCCTCTACTTTTTAATTCTCTGGATGATGATATCAAGTCTGAGTTTGAATTCATATTTAAAAATTACTGTTTTGGGGAGATTCACAAAAGAATATGTATAAAATGTAACTTAAAATAATTTTTTTTTAATCAAACAAACCTGCATGCATTTTCAGAATCTTAGTTAATAGGTGACTGAAGGAAAAGTAAAATACACCATGGACTGACAAGCATTATTTGTATAAGAAAGCTGATGTATGTTTTTATTTTTCATGAAATTAAATAGTTTCTGATAACGTGTATATGTTGGTTTGGTGTGCATTTTTTCCCTGAAATATTTTTATTATTTCCAATATTATAGTGGTATGATTTAAATGAGTAATATGAGGAAAATATTTGAAATTTGCCCGTGAGATTGTGCCATTTTAATTGCAGTTTAAGCATTTATCTTGGATGAAAACTGTTTTATAATATTGTAGTACAATTATATAGTTTTAAAAGACTTTTTTTTTTTTTAATTTTAAGCACCCTGTGCCTCCTAAGAATGATTTCAAGATTGGAATGAAACTGGAAGCTTTTGACCCTCGAAATGTAACATCCACGTGTATTGCTACTGTAGTTGGGATACAAGGTCCTCTCCTGAGATTGCGGCTAGATGGAGGTGATAACAAGAATGATTTCTGGCGACTTGTTGATTCATCAGAAATCCATCCCATAGGCCACTGTGAAAAAACTGGGGGTATGCTGCAACCACCTCTTGGATTTCGCATGAATGCTTCATCATGGCCTATGTTTTTATTGAAAACATTAAACGGTGCAGATATTGCACCTAGCAAAATTTTTATGAAGGTAAGGATTTTCTTAATCCTATTAATACTTCAAGATGTGTAATATATGTTTCACTATTTTTGGTAATAAATGAAATGTCTTGACAGATGGATAGTCAGTTACAAGAATTTTCCATAGTTTCAACATTTTTCTTGCTATGAATTTTTATAATAAGCATCTGTTTGCAATAAATGAAGTGACAAATGTCTTTTACATTAGATAGAAACTTCTTTTCAAATTTAAAAATTAGGATGTAAAGGAGTAAAAGAAATACATCTGTAAATCAGTGTTATTTTTGAGTGCCTTATCTATCATGCATATATATGCATTGTTTTCTGCAGTAATTTTTTTCATTTATTATTTATAAGGTAAAAATGAAATAATTGTATTTTTGCAGTATTCTTGATTATTCAGTTATGCTGTTTTTTAACTTGCAATTTGTTCATTGTTGTTTTAGTTGGCAATCTGTACTGGAAATTCGATGTGTGGAAGATTTTCTTTTTTTCATATAATCATCAGATTTTTAACAAATGAAATTGCTATGTAACAATGTGCACTTTTCTTTTTTACGGTACACACCTCATGGGTACCTTTTTATGGAGTTGTTATATGGTGTTCTGTTCAACCACATTTAAATTTGCCATCCTTTGAAAAATACTGAGCCTACAGTTTCTCTTGCATGACAGAGGGAGCTCTTGTAATATCTGTTCATAATCTTTGCTTTGTATGTTTGTAAGTTTCAAAGCTTCTGTAGGGGGAGAATTATTCCACAGCACCAACTACATTCATATTTCCTTTTAGATCATTTTTGGATTTCCAGATTAATATATCATTGCATTTTCTCAAATGAATTTTTTCCCCTTTTCAAATTTCAAAAAAATAGTAAATTATTTGAGAGATGAATTTGATGTAAATGGAAGTAATGTTTTAAGTGACTTTTAAATGAATAATTGAGATAACAGCAATCATGTCGTGCAGTCGCAGGTGAGTGATGGCAATAATGAAGTTTTGAATTTATATGTAACTCACACTATTAAAATGATACAGCAAATGTAAGTTTTCATCTGAAAAGTTCTCTGTTATTCTTTGCACCCCTTCATACATGATAAAATCTGATTGTCCTGGATTAATAGGAGTGTATTTTGAAAAGTGCTTGGTTGAGTTTTTTTATTTTACCACACCTGCAGAGGCAAAGTTGTTTATGAATGCAGTATTTATTTTCAGTAAAATTTGAGAGAAAATGAAAATTAGATACAAATGTTGTCTTCAGAAGTAAAAAGTAAAGTGCAGCTGTGAAATTTTAAATTTATGAATCCTCGGTCTACTTTGATTGCCAAGGTCAATTATTTATAGAATATGTTGGACACATATGAAATGAATAGCTGCAAAAACAAAGAAGATGAAAAATCTGTTTCTCAAATTTTTAGTTTAAAATTTAACTTCTAATTTGTTTCTCACTCTTTCATAGTATTCATTTCAAGTGAAGAACTTTAAATTGCATATAAATTTATTTACTTTTAAAGTAATAATGGTATGTATATCTATATATTATTTTAAAATGGCACTGTAAAGATTTATGTGTCTTGTCAGGTTAATACCTCATCATGTCATTTACCTTCTGTAGCTTTAATGACATATGTTGAGGATTAGCACTTTAGTCATGCACTGTTAATCATGCCAATGAAGCATTAAATTAATTGGTGTAATAGGCAGCACACTCGGCACTTATTCGAGAGGTCCGTGGTTCGAGTCCCAGTGAGGGCATTGCTCATCTTTCATCTCTTCTGCTGTACAAAAAATCCTAATGTACTTTAATGAGATGATTATGTAATATATATTTAGTTTGAAATATGGATGTTTTCTGAGTATTGTTTATTGGCCGATTCATTATGTAAGAATGTATTTTTTTATGTGTACAGTTGTTTAGGTCTCATCTAGATATCATAGGGTTCCTCTTCCATTTTTTCCTTGAAATATAATATTTAAAAGTCAGTTCTAAACTGTTATAGTTTTTTAATTAACTTCCTTTTATGTTTTTTACATAGTTACAATTTAACTGTCACCCTTAGCCAAAAGCTGTGTACACATTCTTATGCATTTTTTAGTTTAGATTTCATTTCTAAATTTTGTTCAGTTGCCTAGGTTATAATTTACATTAATTAATTTTTGTATAACAAGGTTAGCAGCGTTGGTGCTGGGTCTCTGTTTTGAAAATCCTTTTGCGCACATATCATAATGATAAAACTGTGTAAAGCAGTAGAAAATTGTGTGTATGCATATCACTTTAAATTAAAATACTCGTTATGCATCCTTCTCATTTGCGTGTCTTTTCTGAATGGACCATTGAAAGACACCATGTTTTATAGTATTTTCTCATTCAGCGATTTTCTAGAGCATCAAGATGAATGCTTGGTAAAAAGGTATTCTTTTGAAAAAAATGCAAATCATATAAAAAATTAGTGTGAATAAATATGCTTAAGGTATATAGCTCAAAAGAATAAATAGAAATTTTTTAAACAATTATTTGAAGAAACGTATTTTGTACAACACAAGTAACTGAAGTCAAATTTACAAAGAAAAATTATCTAAAAATAACAGCTGTGATTTAAAAAATTAAATATTGGGTATAAATGTTTTAAAGAAAGAAGAAACAAGCATTTTTTATGCTTGTGCAAAATGAAAGGAAAAGTGAAAAGATTAACATAAACTGAGAAGGTCTGTCTAGCAAATTATTTGTACTTTTTGACAATAAGTGGTAAAAAAGTGCACCAAACAGTGTTCTGGAATTATAGTGTAAGTTTTTCACGAAATTTTACAAAATTTTGTTTGTAGGTCTAAGTGTAACATCAAAATATTAAAAAAAGAGCATGTCATTCATAGAAAGGTCTGATTTTGTGTCAAAATACATATTAGAACAATGCTGTATATAAATATAATATATATCCTAAAACGTGCTTTCGAAGGAAAAGTGTTAGATGAATTTTGTCAGTCAGCCAAGTAGTGTGTCTCTCTCTTTTAAAAAAAAAAAAAAAACTTTCTACAGTTTGTGTAAACTTTGATAGCAGATATGTAGGGTGTAGATAAAATGAGATTATTCAGGAGCTCTAGTAACCATTTTCACTTCTGCTGAAAAGCTTCCATCCCTACATGTTAAGACGGATTAACTGGTAGTAACAATTTCATCTTTTCAGGTCTCTAGCACATTCATTCCGATTTAAGATCAGCAACCCTGCTGATTGACTAATGCTTTGCATACATTCATTCTTTTTTCCAGCATTATTTAAATTAGGTTAATTGACCAAGCAAAGCAGCTTGATTGCTATCTGACTATAGGCAGGGATGTCTTTGTGTAGATGTTTTAAGGAAAACTAGCTTGTATCCCTTTAAACATGTGGAAAGTCCTGAAAACTCTCATGCAGATATGGCTTTAATTCGAACCCGAGTCAAGCTGCCATGTTCACTGACTTCACTGACCACATTAATCGCCCATAATTACAAAAGAATTTTTCTATTGCAGTAACAAAAGACATAAAAAATGCTTCTGGGTTTCATTTTTATACCCCACTGCCATCAGTTATCTGTTTTTGATATACAGAAGGATCAGTTCATCCTCCAATATTTGTCTCTTCTAGCTAAAATCTTTCTCCTTGAACTGAAACCCATTCTTAGACAATGGCTGTTTTCTCTCATGTCACCTGTATTTTGGATCCCAACTCATCTTACCATGGAATAGGTCACATTTCTCAGCATTTAAATATTCTACATCCCATTCATTGTCTTTGAGCTCTGTGTTTATCATTTGTATAAAAAGGGAAGGTTTATTTTGCAAGATTCTAAGCAAAGAGTTATTGTAAAATGTTCTGCAACTTTTTTTAACTATGAAAAAAGTATAAAGATGATTTTACAGAATTGATGTTATAAAATGCATTTACAGTTTAAAAAAACTTGCATTACTGGCGGGAGATGGTAGTTACTTGAGTTTTAATATGAAATTTGACACTGTTTTTGTTTGATTTAAGCTTCAGTATCCAGTTTAATCTGTGTTGCTGAAATTCATAGTTTCCTTCAAATGTCTGTCTGTCTGTCAAGCATGTTCTTGTTTTTGATCTTAGGATTTTCATTTTACGAAAAAACTGTTCACATGTGTAGGTAATGCCAAAGATAGAAGACGTGAGGAGTGCATGTTTACGAATTCCTGGATGCTTGTCTTTGGTCACATACTTCGAATAAAAATCAATTAATGTAGGATTTTCACGAAACTTACATTTTACTGCAGAGTTACACTGTAAATCTATAAATTCTAATTTAAGTTCAGGTGGAGCACTTCTAATGTCTACTGAAAATGGCGAGAACATTCTGATGAAAATTTCATTTTCATGAAAATCAGAAAATCTGCTTTTGAATTCCTCTTTCAAATTTTAAATGTATTGTACATAATTATTTCAATTCAATCTTGTAGAGTTCTTCACACACTCTCAATTTTGGAAAGTTAGTGGAATTCTTATTTAGCAACTAACTTTCCTACAAGATTAATTTTGTTTCAAAAACTTTCTTAAAGTGAATAAAGATAATGAACAAGTAGATCTCTTCGCAGTAAGCGGCAGTTCAAATCATTGAGATGACCTGTAATATCGACAAGAAATGCAGTCTCTCAACCATTTCTCATCACTGAACTCGTGAATAGATTTCCCTTTAAATTCCATGAATTTTTTAACTTCGCTTTTCAAAGAAAACAGGCGCTGAAGCAGCTTTCTTCAGCTCAACCAATGTACTTCCGCGTAATACACATCACCACCATATTCAGCATCCAAATCACTCAAGACTCACTGTTAAAATTGCCTGTGATTGTGTTCTTTAGATCAAATGAAATAAACCACTTTTACAATAACATTCATCAGATGTTCAAAATTTGAGAACTTGCACAAATTTTCTTGGTGGATTATACAGTAGTAGTATTTAGTAATAATAGTAAAACAAGTCATCATAGTATTATTATCCTCTTGCCTTCACATGAGATTTGTGTAATGTTGTTACTCCTATTTTGCCTCCAGTCAAATTTAGCGCCATCCGTGGTTATAGTATATTACTGAAGTCTAACTCATATTTATCCAAAGTTTGCGTCAAACTCTGAATACAAATCTGTTCCTCATATTGTACTTTTAAGTGCAACGAAACACTGGCTAATTCCTCTACAATTGTAAAATCTCTATCAATGCCACGAATAAAAATGGCCTTTTGTGCAGTATCTATTGCATCTGTTGAGTCATTCATTGCTGCAGAATCAAACTCAATTTTTTTGCATTTAGATTTTAATTTACTGAATATATGTCTTGTGAGATCCTCTATGTGTCTTGCTACTGTCACACCAGGCAAGCTGATATTCGATATGACTTGAGCCTATGATGGACAAAGCACAACAAATGCACTCTTAAGACATTCATTTACTAATTTTCCATCAGCAAAGGGTTTCCATGCTAAGCAGTTTTTTCTGCTATCATATAATAACATGAACACTGTTTTCAAATTCTTTATTCGCAGTGGAGAAGAAAGACGGCTAAAAATTTAGTTTTGGATTTAATTCACTCACCTTACACTTCGAAAAGACCTTCCAATGCAGAATATTTCTCACTGTGCTTAGTATCTTAATGTTGTGTTTCTTCATCACAGCTACACTGTTGTTGCAAATAAGGCAATCTGCCTTACCCTTATGTTACAACAAAAATGTAAAGATCTGACCACTTTTCTTGAAAAAATCTCACTTTTCCTTAATTTTTTCTAATCACGGCTTGCCATTGTGTACTCATTCAAAGTTCATAAACGCTTCTAAATTTTAGATTGTGGAATGAGGGTGAGTAACCTAGCTTAAAATCAACTGTAGAAAATCTGCTTATCACCAAATCACACGGAATGTTTACGATCACCGTTCCCTTTGACAACTGATTGCAACAGCAGGAGAAATAGAATTCTGTTAATTTATTCCCCTCCCCCTCTACAGTAGTGGCATGCTCAAAGTCACCTTTGGTGAAACTTGTTAGAGATAAGAATTTACCCTTTTTATGGAATTGAGATTTTATGCTTAGTCAAACTTTTTGTTTTTAGAATTACATAAGATAAAATGAAATTTTTTAAAAATTCATCATTTTCAGACAGGCATGTCTATAAAATGTTTTAAATGTCAAGACTAACAGGGAAAAAAAAAGTTTTTTTTTTTTTTTTTTTTTTTTTTAATGATAAAAAGCTACAACCTGCATGTGAAAATTATTACTACAGCACCGTACTTGACACATGGTTCTGATAAAATATTTGACTGAAAATGTTCTTAATCTCAATGAAGTAAAAGAGCATTTAGTGTAAGGATGTTCATCTCCCTTATATTTTATAGTTAAGGAATGGGTAAAACAAATTTGCATCCCCTGAAAATTCATAGATGATGAGTCTCATAAACATTCAGCATTAGAAGCACTGACATAAAAAAATATTTCTCAAGTCTAGTAGGAAATATTGAGTGATTGAAAAGTTAAGGAGATAGCAGCAAAATTGTATCTGTTTAAATCAACTGTTTTTTACATTTTACATGGATGTCTTCACAAGAACAGTCTCTACAACATGAGTCCTTAACTTTGTCCAGCAGTTAAAAAACAGCAACATGTTAATACAATTCACAATGTGAGTTTTAGAATCCTGACTAGCCTCCTTATAGCTCAGATTTAGCAAAAACAGATAATTGTCTGTTCTCGAAACTGAAATTTTAACCTTTCTGAAAAGAGATTTAATGATGATGAAAGAGTACATTGGATTGATGGAGTATTTTGAGGATGAACTTTCAGATCACTCTTTCAGAGGCATAAAGTTGCTCACTAAATGATATGAAAAGTGTATTGAAACACACAATTATATTGAAAAATAAATTATTAAGGTTTTCTTTATTTCTTTTTGAAGTATATCGAGCCAGATACTTGGATCTACCTAGTTATCAGGCCATGTTAACAGATTTCAATCTTTATAAATATGCAACAAATAGTTTGTTGTTGTTGATTTGGCCCTGTTAATTCTCTGTCATTTATAATGAAACATCTTTATTTTGCTTAGCTATTGATAGTCTCGTGTGCTGTTTTGTTCTTAAGCATAGTAGCTGAACCTCATTCCTTCAGAAAATTTTATTTTACTGGCATTGCATGAAGAATATGAGAATATTAAAAAGGGGTATTACTTTTAAAATAAATGAAGGAAACTCCTAAAGGATTCAGAGATTATATCTTTACTAGACATGTAATCAGTCATGCTGAGGCTGCAAGATAATTTCGGCCATAGAGCCTGATCCATTTCCTTGATATTTGTCTCCATAAAATTCCTCAAGTTGTTGACAGTGCTAAGGTTATGAAGAATTTTTATTTGTGTGTACTGTTGAACAGACAAAGAACAAACATGCAAATGATGCCCAATGTGGAAATTTCATTAACACGAAAGGCACAGAACAATGTAGGCCGTTTAACTCAAACTTTTGATTTTTTTGGTATTTTAAATGCTTTATTTGATGGTAGGCAACTAAATAATCTTGGTTTCTGGCAAAACTAATTTTCTGAGATTTAACAATTATGCGATATTATCCTGAAATTATTAAAAGAAAAAAAGTGTGATTTAGAAACACTGTATAACTTGTTACTTTTATTGGGTATATGTTTTACTGAGGTATATTGTTTTCTTTTGCAGGAACCACCTACACCTGAATGCAATAAGTTTGAAGTTGGTGTAAAATTAGAAGCATTAGATAGAAAAAACCCTCATTTAATATGTCCTGCAACTGTTGGAACTGTTAAGGAGGAAATGATATTTATCACATTTGATGGATGGCGAGGAGCTTTTGATTATTGGTGTAAATATGATTCTAGAGATATATTTCCTGTGGGATGGTGTAAAGCTAGTGGTCATCCTTTGCAATTACCAGGAAATAAAGGTATGTATGCTTGTTTATACTGGTATGTGCACACATATGTAAGAAGCTGAAGAATTATTATCTATCTGGATCAACCAAAATTTGATGCATCACAGTGTACAGGAAAGGCATAAACATTTTTTTCTCTATACTTTGATGTGTCAGTTGACTGATCCATAACGATTATTTTTTTTTTAAAAATCCTTTTGCTATTTTTTATTAAAATGGCTGCAGCTTTTAACATGTTTTATATATGGATTTTATAAACCATGGTTATCATTTATCACTCATATGTACAATATGAACAAAATTATTCAGATTCAAAACATGCTTCTTTTCATCCAGATTTTTCTCCACAGTTCAAATGCATTCCCCCTTCATAGAAAAAAATTATAACACAGCATTTCTCAGTCAAGAAGACAAATTAGTACAAGCTATCATTTCCCTAAAGAGGTAGTTTCCAACTTTCATACCATCTCTTATTGTAATCTCATCGCTTGCTCCTCTCCAAGCATATGGTAAGAAATCATTTTCAGAATTTGCCATTCTTCATCAATATCCCAAAAAGGAATTAGCAAGTTGCTGTTGGTAGGGTAGAGCTTCCAAAAAAGATAACACGAAAGTGTTTCTAGAAAGCACTAATGAAAAAAATGCTTTAAGAGTTTCAGCATGGTTAAAATATGTATGATGTCTGTTGAAGAAATATCATCAGGAGAACTTGAAAATTTGTATCTTTAGATTGATATGGTATTTATTATATTATTCCTTCATGTAATTGCTTTAAGATATATTTTAATATTAAATGATTTTATTTTATTTACTTAAACATTTTGCTCTTTTGTGTTAGAAAAAGTCTGTTCTTGCAACTCCGAATATTAGATCACTTTATATAATAAATTATTTTTCCTGGTCCCAAGGGTGGCTTCATTAGGAGGTTGAATTGTTATATGTGATACATGGCTAAGAGTATTCCAGCACTCCATGTTCTGAAATCGGAAGCTGCTGTGACACATATTTAAATGATGTCATTTTTTTCCATCAGTGACAGCAGGTGTCTGGAAAGACTCCATTATTTTTTTAATAAATGGTCACAGGAACTGATATCCAGGCTTCCTGTGGTAGTTTCTTACTTGAAGAAAGCAACTCTCCTTAAGGTGAAGTCACTTTTGTGCCAGGTCATTGCTATGGAAGTATGACTTTCATTTGCAGCTTGAATTGGGAAAGCAATTCTTGAAACAGGAACTTACAGATGTTAAAAAATTTTATCAACTTTGTACTATTAAAATTTTTTGATCATTAAATAGATAAGTGAAAGTTCACTTACCTTCTAAATAGGGCTGCCCTGAACTGCCTTCTTTCTTTCTTGTCGATATCCGTCTCTATGATGAACTTCGATTCACTGCGCAAACACAGCTATAAACTTTTTTTTAAGAAATTTTAATTAATTCGTATGAAAGATATCTACACAATATTTTTACAAGTTATAATGATTACAAGCATTAATTTATAATATATACGGAGACGGTCTATTGTTATCGACATCTGTTAGACGCGTCAGCCGTTCAACTAGACTACTTTTAGTCTTTTGTCCCTTCCGCCAGAGGGCGTTCGTGGAAGTAAAGTTCTAGTAAGCAAACGCGACACTCCCACCTTGAGGTCCAGTATCAACAGAGGATGGACCTCAACTGACCTGTAGTTCAAGTCTTTTGAGATTTCGTCATACGGTCGAGTTCTGTACCTCACTTGCATATCCGACTCAGGTGTAAAGTTGAGTTCAAGAGGTATGAGGTTCTTAGTAGGTCTTATAATCTCCCCTTGTGCAGTTTTCAGTTTCACTAATCTAATGTGTCCGTCGCGTGGATGGAAAAATTTCCACGGATTCTAGCTAAGGGCCAGTTTATCCTTTTTTTCGTTGTTGGACACTATTACAAGATCACCAACTTTCACAGAAGATGGTTCGCGGATGAATTTTGAGCTTTGTTTTAGTTGCCCTAAATATTCTGATCGAAATCTTTTTCGTAAATCTTTTCTCAATTTGGCTCTGTAAAGGTATCTTTTATTGATGGATTTAGAATCCAAAAGATCTAATTCAGGAACTCCAGTCTCTGGAATTTCTGTTAGAAACATTGCTGGGGTGAGAGCTCTTAAATCCTTTATGTCTTCTGACAAATACGTGAGAGGACGGTTGTTCATAATGCTCTCGCAGTCACAAATGATTGTCAACAATTCTTCGTAGTTCAGAGAAGATTTTCCTAGTACCTTTCGAAGAATTCTCTTTAGTACTCCAATTAATCTTTCCCACCACCCTCCCCACCATGGCGAGGAAGGGGGAATAAATTTCCATTCAATTTTCTTAACTGTTGCATTTTCTAAGATATAGAATTCCAATCTATGGTCTTAAACAAATTATTTGATCCAACAAAATTGGTTCCATTGTCAGGAGTATACAGTGACAGGTCTACCCCTTCGAGCGATGAATCGCCTGAAGACGTGTGCAGGAAACTTTCGGTTGATAGAGATGAGACTAGCTCTAAGTGAACTGCTCTATATATTGCGCAAGTAAAAATGACGATCCATGTTTTTTGGCCTCCTTTTAAAATTAAGGGACCCGTCAGATCAACACCAATAATCTCAAAAATTAAAGCATCTCTTATTCTGTCTTCAGGTAGTGGCGCTTGAGGAATCTTATGTATGAATCAGAGTCGAACCTTCGACATCGTACACTTTTTTGGATAACTTTGCGTACTGTCTTCCTACTCTTTATAATCCAATATTTTTCACGTAAAGCGCACATAACGAATTGTACTCCAGCGTGACTTAGCCTTTCATGTTCAGATTTGATCAATTTTAATACTAATGGATGATCTGAGGGAAGTAAAACTGGGTAACGAAAGTCAGCATCATCGTCTCTCTGAAAGATACGTGTCTTCACTTTCATAAGGCCATTGGAGTCCATGATAGGTTGTAGAGCACGTATTCTCTTATCTTTCAATCCTTCAAAAGATTCTTGTTGGATCAGTCGGAAAATCATTGTTTCAGCTCCTTTTATCTTCGACTGAAATTCTGCCATGAGTTCTTTCAGATGGTGGTGTTGTAGCATTTTTTAATGAATCTAAAGATCCAAGATACGACCTTTATGATCTTTTCGAAATTTTGAAATATTGTCAAAAAGGTTTTAAATTTATCTGTATTCGTGTTATTGCTTGCTAAAACCACAGTTTGTTTTCTCTCTTCATTTACTATGTCGAAGTCAGGAGGTTCTCCATCTGCAATAGGAAACTCTTTTGGAGGTCGATAGATCCAATCTGATCCTTTCCACCACTCAGATTTTCTCAATTCCTTAGCAGAGCAACCGTGAGATGGCAAATCTGAAGGATTGAACTTCCTGGGAATGTGATGCTAGTGATCTGGGTTACTCAATTTTCGAATCCCATTCACTCAATTGGCTACAAAAGTGGGACCAATTTCTTTCTGTTTTATACAAAGAGAGGCATTTGTGTAATCCGTCCAGTAAAAAACTGGAACCTCTTTTAGTTTCAAGTCTTCTCTTATTGTACAAGAGAGCCTGGCTCCAATAGTGCAAGCGAACATCTCTAGTCGAGGTATGGTGAGTGCTTTTTAGCGAGAGCAACTCTTGCGTTAGATTGTATCAATTGACAAGTGACTCCACTCTCACCGCTGTGTCTAAGAAAAATGCAGGTCGCATACGTGTCCTTGCTTGCGTCCGAAAATACGTGCCATGCAGAGTGGTACTTTTCGTCTATTTTGGGAAAGCAATCTAGGAATTTTGGATGTCTTTCAAATATTTTAACTGAGATGACCATGTGAAAAATTTCCTTTGCTACATCAATTCGGCAGATTAGTATTCCAGTTAATTTTCTGTTTCCAGCAACTCCTTGCAGAAATCAGTTTAGGCATGAGAGTAACTGGACTAGTAAACCCAACTGGGTCAAAGATTTTTACTCAATTCGGAAAGAACAGATCTTTTTGCTTCAATACAGGATTTTCTTCATATTTTACGTGACAAGACAAAGTATCGTCAAACAAGTCCCATTTCAGTCCCAATACTGACACAGTACATCTTCATAATTTTTCCTCAGAAAAGTTTAGGAATTGAAGTTTCATTTTTAAGTCTATTATGTTTTCCAACCTCTTAGGCCAAATTTCTCAGTAACGCCATTATTTCTCTAAGATCCTTTGATAAATGAAGTTCAATTCTTTAATTGATTCGACGCCTCGCTACGCAGTTATCCACATACACGGCTTTCTTTAGCTTTGAAGCTATTTCCTTGACGTTGTTTTAGTACATTTTCCAAATGGTAGTTAATCGTGGCAGCGAGTAAAATGGGGATGGCGTTTACGCCGAATAACAACCCTTCGGTGCCGATATATAGTCAGTTTTTCAGGCTGTCCTTTCTCCCACCATAGGAATCGGAGGAAATCTCGATCCGCTGGGTTCACACCTATCTGAAGAAATGCTCTTTTTATATCCGAAATTACTCCATATTTCCCCTCTCGAAATTTTATCAAAATTTTGGGGATCAATTCAAGATAATTAGGACCCTTTTCCAGGCAGTCGTTCAGAGATACTGAATTTTTCTCCTTTGCAGATGCGTCGAACACTGGTCGAATTTTGGTAGTCGAATTTTCCCGAAACAACTGCTCTATGTGGCAGATAATGCCCTTTGATCTTTTCTGCCTCCGAAATATCGATAGGTTCAATTATTCCCTCTTCTACCCAATCCTTTAAAACAGTTTCGTAGGCTTCTAAGGAATTCTTTGTCTGAAGGGTTTTCACGCAAGACTTCAGACGCTTTTCTGCAAGGATTCTATTATCTGGCAACTCAGGATGAATTTGAAGCCACGGAAGTGACACCTGATATCTTCCAGCGTCATCTCTTTCTAAAGTACGGATAAAATAATTTTCTGTAGCCTTTTGTATTTCTTGTTTTGTTTGCGAAAGAGCTGGTTCAGTTATTCCGATAGAATCAAGAGACCACAAGTCACAAATTTTTCTGTCA